AATGGAACCAGATTTCCTTGGAAAATTGGCTGATTTCAGGTCTGTGAAAAAGCATAAATTAAATATAGAGAATTTTGTACTGGAAAACCAAGAAAGTTTCTAAGGCTATTGAAGACAAGTGAAAAGGACTAAGGAAATGTTTGAAAGAACTTATACTGGGCAAACCTGGGGTAATTTGAGGATCAGAAGTAAATACAGTAATAGATTATAGCACATTAAATATAAAGGAAAAAGAGTCAAAGTGGTGATTTAATGCTAACTATAAAATGAATCCATATGCCATAATGATACCCAAAACAAAGCAAAACAAAAAAGTGGGAGGATGGGGAAGTGGGGGAAGGGAAGCTCTTTTAAAATTCAAGAAGAATTCAAGCTTCAACAATAGAAAGAATAGTTGAATTTTTTCAAAAAGCATAATTTTGTAGACCCCAAAATAATAATTCAGGCAAAGATCATCAATGAATGCTAAAACTACTGAATGGGTACAGTGTTGAGAAATATGGTATTCACAAAGTCTTAAAGAATTATTCCACAGATTACTCCTTACTAAAGAGAAAAAAATACCTCCACAGTCGAGACATCTGGCAGACACCATCTGAGCATAGTGAGCAAATTCGGCATCACCGAAAATAGAAACGACAAATGATGCAATGGAAATTTGTACAAGCCAGAGAACCATACACTCCTGCATAATTTGAAGAAGTATACTTAAACGAACGGCAGAAGGTAAGTCTCATATAGTATACAAGTTCCAAATCTTGACATTATTATCCTCAATCTACAGGTGAAGAAACAGAAATTCAGAGAAGTTAGACAACTTTCTCCATGTTAAGTATGTAGTGACTGGCAAAGCTGGAATTTGATCCTAACATAATCTGATTCTAAAACCCAGATTACTTTGAGTGCAAGAGCCTGGCAGTCCTAGCCACTGCTGGGTCTATGGTCCAGGTAACCTCACATATAGATTGCTCCCTTGAACACTAGCAGCTGACCTGCCTGGCCTCAGTCCTTCCTCTTTTAGCTGGCTTGTCTCTGTATCAGTCCTCTTATGAAATCCAAACCAACCTACTTCCCCACCAAAGTGGGCAATAGCACTGTTTTAGAAAAGATGCTAGAAGTCTTTGGCTATGTTAAGAGTCTAGAAAACTGGCCCAGTTATCATGCGGATGGATACCTGCGAAGTTAATCATGATTGGCCTGTAGAACCACCAAAATTAAACGTTGTTACCATTTTATGTTCCAGTCTATTAAATGAATAGCATCAACCATGTGACATATCCATGAAATGAATGATCATGTTCCGCTGTAACAGCCTCAAATGAAAATCAGTTCTCATTTTAATTAGCTTTTAACACCCAGACTTCTATCTCAGTATAGCAAAAAACCAACTCAATAGTGCCAATTAACATGTCTGTCTTGTCTGTTCAGGCCGCTGTAACAAAACACCTTGGAATGGGTAATCTATAAACAAAAGAAATTCATTGCTAACTATTCTGGAGGCTGGGCAGTCCAAGATCAAGGTGCCAGTAGATTCCATGTCTGGTGAGGCCTTCATAGACAGCACACTTTGTGGTGTACACATGGCCAAGGGGAAATGCTGTTCTCTGGGACCTCTTATCAGGGCATTAACAGCATTCATGAGGGTGGAGACCTCATAACCTAATCACCTCCTAGTGTCCCCACATTATAATACCATTACCTTGGTGATTAGGTTCAACATATGAATTTTGGAGGGACGCTCAGACCTCAAACATTCAGACCTTAGCCATGACCAAAACCAAACACCTGATTTTCCTCTTAAACCTGATCCTCCACTCTTCCAATTGCTTAGGCTAAAACTTTGATGCCATCCTGGCATCTTTCTTGGTTCACACCCAATCCATTGTGAAATCCTGTTGGCTATGCCATTACAGTGTATCCACAATCTCATTATATATCATCCATTCTGCCCCTCCCACCCTGGCCTGAGCCACCCACTTTCCTAGGCCAGGTCAGTCACTGGCCTTCTCACTTTTCTTTCTCTTTCCACACTTCTCTATATCAGGTCTTGGCCCAGCAGGCCAAAGTGCTCTTAGGTCAGGTCGCTCCTCAGCTGAAAACTCTTCAGTGGCTTCCTGTCTTCCTCAGAACAGCAGAATCCTTCAAGGGGACCTGAACACCTTCTGAGACCTTTGCTCTCCTCTACCCTCATGGCCTCCTTGCAGGGCCTCCAAAGATGCCAGCCATGCTCTCCAATCCAATTTTTGCACTTGCGTCTGTTACCTCTGCTTGCAACTCTTGTTACTAGCTGTCTGCATGGTTCACCTGCTCTGAATCTTTGCTCACAGTTTACCTCCCTGGTGCAGCCTTCCCTGCCCATAGTAATTAAAGTTAAGGCTGCATTCCCTGTTACCCTTCACCCATAGCACTTACCACCAGTCTGACATACTATGTATTTTACTGATTTATTTCTATCTTACCTCTCCTCCCCACTAATGTAGGTATCCAGGAGGACAGTGGTTTTTATAAAGCTGTTCAGTCACTGCTATATTCTTAATGCCTGAAAAGTACTTCATACCTAGTAGGTACCAAATATCTGTTAAACAAATAAATATGACAAAAGACAAAACCACACATACAGAGCAAAGCTTGTTTCTTTTTAAACCACTTCTAATATAAAGTAGTAATAGCCGAATCAGATTTTAATGCTGAACTAGACACAAATATATCTCAATTCTTAAGTTGTATATAAGAAAGTATGCCTTTAAGTCTTTGGTTGTATTTGTACCCAAGCATTTTCCTTTACAGAACTCATATTTTAGCCACAAAAATATTTTTTTCTTTAGGTTATCTGGGTTGGTTAATGATAGCATGGCTTATTTATAATATTAAATATGACCAGTAAACAGAAGGAGAAAACTCCCTTAAATAAGTCCAAATGTAGCACATAAACAAAGGCTTGGATACATTTTAGAGGGCAGAAACAAATCCACTTTAGAAATAGAATGCCTACATTACATGTTGCAGTTAAATCTTCCAGATAGCTTCATTGCTGTAGACAAGATCTTAGCAATATCAAACTAAAGTAGGCAAGAAAAAGCAGGATGATAATGGATTTGCTTACAGTTTTGGTCTTTCATAGACCCTTAAATCTCATTTATGTATAATGGACTGTAAATAGAAGCTAATAGAAAAAAAGACTGTGAGGCTAGTGTGATGGAAAAGAGGAGAAAGGACACTGAGGTTGGCTGTGCTTGACCACATGGAAGAGTGGCATAGAAGATGGCTCTTTATGAACCACACACGAAAGGTAACAAGAACTACACTAGCATGGATAACATCCTGGTCTCTGGTCTCCTGGCACCCTCAGTGGCATGAGTCAGGTCAACAAACCACTCATAAGTCTCATTTTAAAATACTTTTTTTCCACTTACTTTTTGTTGAGGAGAAACCTCAAACCCATCAGCTTGCTGGTTAGGTCATACAATGCCAGCATACATTTTAGCAGTGATGTAAATATATCTAAGAACGGTAGGATTTTTTTAATGCAAAGTTTGAAAGTAAACTTTGCTAGTAATTAATTTCTGTCCTTATTTCCAGACCTTAGAGATAAAGCCAAAAGACTATCAAAAAGATCTTTAAAATATAACTTTTCAGAGTTATATGAAGTACACAATTCATGTGTCAAGATTTCTTTTGAAAAGGGAAAAATAAGTGGGAAATATTTTTAGCAAAACTGTGCTTAAAATTTTCCAAATTTCGAACACGAGTGCAGAAGTTGTTTCATATCATGAAAAAGGGAGTTCTTCCCTTCATTTATAACCAGAGTACAAAAGGCATGATCCCTACTGTGTGACCTTGGGCGATGGACACATCCTAAGGTTCAGATCTGTAAAATGGTGATAATAACAATCTTATAAAGATTATCATGAAGACTGACAAAGATAATGCACATAAAATTAATATACTGCCTGGAACATGATAATTGCTCAATAAATGGTTCCTTGGAGTCTTCTTTATCTTCTTAATCACATATCAATTTTCAAAGAGAAAAATTTCCACTATTCTTGTTCATTTTCAAATAAGTTAGGAAAGTTTTCAATTTATGGCCCTGGACTAGCACAGCTGGGACTGTGGCTGTGGGATGGGCCTTAAGTGAGATAAAGTTCTTGGGTCAGTTGCAGTGACTCTCATTGCAATATTTCATCATCTCTCTTCTCTGCAAAAGATCTCCAGTTTTCTCTACAGAATGCTCTCTGTTCTCTTTTTTACCTTACCCAGACTGCCTCTTCAACCCCTCAAGAGAGTGTAAGAAACAGCTCTACCATCAGTACTCCCAAAGTAGCCTTAACTCAAATCCAGATGTCCTAATACATTCTAATCTATTTCCCCCTGGAAATCTTGGGTTTGTCATAGGACAATCGTGAAGGAATTCTAAAAGATACAGTCATATTGAATTGTAAGCCAACTTCTCCACTACTGTGACTGCCAGCATTTCTGGCAAGTAATAAATGCTTTGCTGAAAAGAAAAGCATACAAAAACAAGTAAACAAAAAGCAGTCCCAAGAGGCAAGGCTTCACCTTTCTAAGGAAAGAAGCCCGTGTACACCCTCCTTGCCCTGCTCTGCTCACTCCTTTGCAGTAGGGGTGACTCTTTCTGTTCCACAAATGCAGAGTACCTCTGAATAATAGTTTTCTCTTTTTCTTCTCCCAACTACCTCTTCCCAAGCTTCTTTCTGATACATTTCATTACAATCAGTTTTTGTTTTTGTTTCTCACTAGTCTCTCTCTTCTGACCTCTGGGAGTAATTAAAAGTCAGAGGAACCCTTGAAGCTACTGTGTCCATCACTGAACCCACATTCACTAGGAACACAGGTTTGCCTCCATTAAGTTCCAGTATTATACAACAGTTTTCTAGAACACCTCAGGGTCTTTATAAACAGATTTAGCAGAATAACTTGGTACACAGAGCTGTGTAAGTCTTAGTTGTTATTATCATATAAACAAGCACCCTCCTCACCCTTTAATCTTGCCATACCACAGTTAATCGTTGACTGCTGCGGTCATAGGCAGGAGCAGGAGTACTTCTCTGGCCAACAGCCCAGAGATGGTGAACAGACCTTCCTGGCCCCGTCAGCAGCCTTACTTCTCCACTTGGCATCAGTTTTACAGACTACCCTGGAAACACGGACTTGCAAAAATCCTTAGATTACTTTCTTTCTACCTGGAGTCAAAGGTGACACACTGATGGGGTCTCCCATTGCGCAGCTGTCTCAGGCCAAAGATTGACCAACCACCCTCCCAACAGATTCCAACTGCCAAGTGCAAGCTCCCCTCCCACTCTCCAGTGACATCACGGTCTGACCCTGGAATCTTTTCATCTCACCACACCTCACACTCCTATCCCCAGCAAAAGGCATTCTGTCACATCAACGCTTTGCACCCCAAATGAGAATCTGACACATTATTATCAATCACCTTCGCTCCTCGGGACCACGGAAGACTTGCCGGGTTTTCAGCGCTACTTGCTGGGGACACACTGCCAAGACAGCCCACAGCCTTTCCAGGTTCCTGACCACTTGGGAGAGGGAGAGTGGTGAGCTAGTGCATGGCTCTAAAGGACGATTGTCTATGAAAATGGCAGTGAATAAGCTCTCTGTAAAGTAAGGTTTTACCAGCAGGGTAAAATTCAATCTGAGAAACTCGGTTGCCTTTTGAGGATGCTTGTTCTTTTTATTCAAGAAACCAGATGTGTGTGTGTGTGTGTGTGTGTGTGTGTGTGTGTGTGTGTGTACACATACAGGCATATGTAAGTGTTCCGATGTGGCCTTCCATTTACTGCGTTGCACATATTTCTTCCAGGCTTGTTGCTGCGTCTGAGCCCCTTCCCCTCTCCCATCACCCCAGCAGCATCCTGGCGTCCCTGGCATCAGTTTCCTCCCTCATTCTGTCTGTCTGCATCCCACTGATATTCCCCCTCGCAGATCTACATATATCCGTATATTCCCTCATTAAACCTTTTCATTCCCACAGGGTATACTCCATGATGACCTGAGACTGTAATCAAGGACACAAAGTGCCCACACAGGACCTGCAGTGCCTCTTAACCTGCCTTTCACTATTCCAACATGACTGTATCAAATACAGTCAAAAATTGATATTTTCAAATGTTGCTCCTACTCTATTCCCTCCACTCCTGCCTTACAAATAAGGACGTAATTTTTTAAGTATGTCTGCTGTTGAGAGCAATATTAGACAACTCTAGTGCTCAAAGGTTTAAATAGGATTTAGTATTTTTTCTCTAGCAACTCAAATGCAGTAACAATTACATTTTTATTTACAAACAGTTCTGTATTATACATCATTTCCTAGCATTTATTGAGTGGCTGCTATGTTTTATGCGACTTGATGGCATTATGATATGTAATGTTTACTGTAGCCCTGGGAGGTAGAGAGATGAGGAAGCTAATACACAAAGGAATTGGCAGGTGCTGGTACTCTAAGACCCAATTGCCCTGTCCTTTAAATTCCTTTCACAAGAGTAAGTACATTCAGAATTCCCTAGTCTTTACTAGCACCCCGACGTTTTTACATTAAGAACCTGCTAACAGGTAACTTTTTTTTTTTTTTGAGTTGGAGTCTCACTCTGTCACCCAGACTGGAGTGCAGTGGCCGCTCCCAGCCACCGCAGCCTCAACCTGCTGGGCTCCGGCGATCCTTCCGCCTCAGCCTTCCAAGTAGCTGGAACTACAGGCGTGCGCTACCACACCCGGCTAACTTTTTGAATTATTGTAGAGATGAGGTCTTGCCAAGTTGCCCAGGCGGGTCTCGAAACCGCAGGCTCAGGCAATCCACTCACCTCAGCTTCCCAAAGCGCAGGATTACAGGCTGAGCCACCGAGCCTAGCTAACAGATAACTTTTTACTGCTTCTGAAAATGTACATAGATTAGTGAGGTAGCTTGTTTTCTGTTTGTTGATGTTTTCATGTATTTGTTCTTAGGTGCATTAAATAATCAGTAGGTCCCTCATGCCTATCTAATTAGTTAATGATAGTTTATAATTATACAGCCTCCTCTCAAAGTCCCTGAATATAGAGTCCCATAACTAAAGAGTTGTACGTACCACTACAACATTTAATCCAACTCTATCTTGCTTACAATATTATTATGTTGGATGACAGAAAGCAAAGGGGAAAAGCTACTTTTTGTAATCAATAATTTTTAAAGCTGACATTAAGATCAAAATATGCTAAGCAAGAGAGATAGATAAGACAAGTTTGTCTTTGGGTCTAAGTCTTTTTATTCAGCCTTTTCCTTCCAAGACCAAAAGTCATCACTTCCCAATGTCAGCATTCTTTAGAGGATTTGACAGTGAGCTACACAAGAAAGTGACACCATCAATGAAATTGCTTGTGCCAAGGTGGCAGGCACTGGTAACAAACTGCAGAGATAGGACCCCCCTCCCCCAAAGACCCCCTACCCTCCTCTTCCTACCTATAACTACCCCGTGGTTCATCCATCACCACCAGTCTTCCCCATCCCTTTCCAGTACTGCACTCCAGGAGGCAGCTACCCACCATGATGTGGTCCCTGGAAAATCAAACTACTTGCCACATTGTTTTGGTCTCTCTCAGAGGAATTTCCATTTTAATGGATGAGTTCTAGATAAATAAATGTACCACTGGCGTGTTCTTCCAAATGTGTGACTTCAGGTGCTGTGAAAACTGGAGACAGTATTTTGAGGAAGGAAAACAGGCAGATTTGCCATGAAGCCAAGTCTCAAGACTCAGCACTTGAACAGGCTTCTTCCAGGGTCCTGGGAATGACCCTGCAATGAGCTCACATCGTCATGTGTGTCTGAAATTTGCAAAAGTGAGATGTTTTGTGTTCTTTTTCATAAAGAGGGCACCCACAGGACAAAAAGAACAAGCCCCACAAAAATCTAGTGCTCCTAAATCATGTCTTGTACAGGTGGGAGGCTTTAATTAAAAGGAAGACTGCATGCAGTCTAATCGAGTTTGTATTCTACTTTATATAGCATAAGGATTTGTTTCCCCCCCCAATGCAAACAAAATTAGGTTAAATTTTAGAAGATGAAAGATAAAAAAATAAATTTTACTCTTTTTTTTTTTTTTTGAGTTGGAGTCTCACTCTGTCGCACAGACGAGAATGCAGTGGCCGTTCCCGGCCACTGCAGCCTCGCCCGCTGGGCTCCGGCGATCCTTCCGCCTCAGCCTTCCAAGTAGCTGGAACTACAGGCACGTGCTACCATGCCCGGCTAATTTTTTTATTTATCGTAGGTCATGCCAAGTTGCCTAGGTGGGTCTCGAACCCACGGCCTCAGGCAATCCACTCACCTCAGCTTCCCAAAGCGTGGGATTACAGGCTGAGCCACCGAGCCCGGCTAAATTTTACTCTTAAAAGAACAAAATAATTACATTAAAGTATAATATCATTACTAATGATATGCCTCCTTTTCAGATATATCACGAACCAACTTTGGCAGCCCCTGCGCATCTTTTACAAGATAAACTGTCCAAAGAGTCTGCTTGAATAAGTCTCAGACAGGGCTATGAAGCTCCTCCACACGATTCTGCTGTCAAGTCACGTTGAGGGACCCACGCAAGAGACTGATGCGGCTATATCCCATAGCATCTCCTTAAAGACTGGCCGATCCTGTGTCAAATTTAGCCTTGTACTTCAGTGATTGCAGGTCAAGGCAATTGTAACACACATTATTAAGCAAGAAACAGTTAAAACATAAGATCAGAGAAATCACATCTAATAGCCAAAAAGACACTTCTAACAACTCATCTTGTAGCTGAAAGGCATTCTAATGAAAATATAAGAAATAATCCTAATAAAAGGCTTTTGAGTAATGGAAAGTCGTCCAGAAAACATTTGTCCTTAAGATACATTGTTCTTTCTTGATACTCTTCTAAGTCCCTCCCAAATTATCCAGCTGAGATCACTGATGGGGATCTGGACAAACAGGATTTCAGTGAGGATCCTGGAGAGAGCCCAAGCCATACCCTGAGCACAGAGTGACTTCACTGCAGTCATGGACACACACTGATGCCTGGAAATAGAACACTGTTAGAACTGGAGAGGAAGAGCAAGTTCAAGTTTGTATGTGCTGTTTCTGAAGTAGCTGATATAATAACAAAGAACTGGCAATAAATGTTTATCCACCGTGGAATGGATGAATCAGAGGTGGCATAAGCAAGCAGTCGAATACCATCTCCCCATTTGCTGAAGCAGGTACTGAAACGCATGCGTTATCATCCAAACCGGGACTATTTCTACTTGTTTAAGCCAAATCTTACAATGCATGCTCCTTCTAGGATATGTGGAAAGTGCAACAACCAAGACTTACATAAAGAAAAAATTTAGGGTTAGCCAGGAAAGATGTATGACTTAAGAAACAGGGAGGTGTGCCCCTACCACCTAATCTAAAAACTGGGTTCCTTTCTGGAATGCATTTCTAGCCCTTCTTAACCTTTCCCACAACATTTCATGGGAAGTAATTTGTGGCTATTTGTGTTCTTGAGTCTACAGTAAAGCTTTGGGAGGTTAGGGAGCATTATATCCCAAGGATAGTACAGGATCTGGCGGACAGCAGACCCTCCATTTATTTTCAATAAATGAATCACCACCTACAGCTTCAAGTACCATTCACATTTTGGTAAGTCACAAATACTACAGTTCTCCCCCCTCCTAAATGTCAGCCCCTGCTGGGCCAAATGCCTGGCTAGCATACCCACCAGACTGTCCACTAGCTACCTTAGAAGCTACATGCACTAAACTGAACTTACTGTCTGTCTAAAACAATCTGCTGCTATACTGTCAAAAGTATGCAAAGATAGATACTTGAGTGTCTTTGACAATATTACTTGTAAAAGTAAACAAAGAAGTAAGCAGAACATGCTATCATAAATGGAATAAGATACAACTTATCCTCTTAACTAATGACGAAAGTGGATCTCTCTGTCTTAAAAGCAACTTGTGGAAAGCTGCTCATGCCCTGCTATCAAATGTAAACAGAACTGCAAAAGACACCACTTTTTGAGGTGGCCATTACACACATGTTTAAAGGTATAGGGGAAAAGCTAACAGGGTCGTGATTCAGTAGTGGAATTTCTCCATTTACTTTGAACATTTTCCATGTTGAGATTTTAAAGTGAACAATTCCTATAGAGAAAACTTGACAGTTAAAAAGCAAACCAAAAATATAAACCTCTTTCTACGCTCTCCATCTGTAGTACAGACTTCT